GCTATTCGGACCAAGCTGGTGAATCTTGAGCACAACATGATGACGGCGTGGGCCTCCGCGAAGGGAAGGTCGTCTGCGGTCGACCTCAACTACCTGTTGAGACGCCGCGGAGCTCTCATGGCCGTCGCCGACATCAGGCAGCATCTACCGTGGGTGGACACGGAGAGGCAGCCCGCCGACAAGCTCTCACGTTCGAGACCATGTGGAGCTATCTACACCGAGCCTGGGGCTCCCACGGCCACGACCATTTTGGAACCGCGCCGGCGAGTCCAATCGTGCCCTCTTAGGGGCCGTCAGCGGCTGGCACGGACCCACGCCTGGAGAGCAGTGTCACCGCCAAGACGCTGGCCCACTACAAGAGTGCCGCCGCTCGGCTGGCATCGTGGTGCCAGCGGCATCATGCGAATCCGTGGGCACCTGACGAGACGAGTGGGACGACGCGCTGATCGAATTCACGCATAGCCTGCCAGACGAGTTGGGGAAGGCGGAGTTCATTGCGACGGTGCGCGCCGTCGAGCTCCGCGCCCCCTGCCTGAAGTGCAAGCTGGCCTGTTCGCATGCTGCCATCCGCGGCTGGAGTATCGCGGCGCCCGTCCGACACGGTGCCCATGACGTCGCGGCCGAGCAAGTGGATAGCAGCGCAGATGGCCAGCAGGAGTCGCCCTCGCCTGGAAACAGGCATGGCGCTGCAGGCCCACATGGGCCTGCGGCCGTCCGAGATGCTCAGCCTGACTACCGACGACTTGACCTCCCCCGAGGGCGGAGGCCACCGCCAGGACGAGGGCGCGCTAGTGGTCTGCCTCGGCCTCAAGGCATGGACCAAGGCCAAGCGCGCTCAAGCAGCATCGCTTCGCTTTCCACAAGATGCCGTCTTCATCCATCTGCTCCGTCACCTGAGGGGCATCGCTCCGCCAGGTCACCGTCTCTTCCCGTGCCCCTTGGAGGTCTACCGCACGGAGCTGGCAGAGATCCAGAGGGGCTTCGGCATAGACGTCAGGTGGACCCCGCGCAGCCCCAGAGCAGGATGCGCTTCGGAGTCCTCAGCTTTGGGCGTGCCCTTCGAAGTGATCAGAGAGACGGGCCGATGGAGAATGGATTTCAGCTTGCGCAGCTACATTGGCGTAGTCTCGGCGGCTCAGATCAGCGCGACCCTGCGCCTCAAGGGCTTCGAGGCAGCGCTGGCGTGGGCGACCCAGCTTTGGGCCTGGTACATCGTGCAGTCTCTGGCCGGAGGCCGACGGGAGCTGGGCGCCAAGTAGACGGGTGTCCTCGCCAGCGACCAGTTCGAAGGTCTCGATAAGGACGCCTGCATCGTGGTCAGTTGCGTCGGCTGCCTCGATTTCGTCGCCAGTCCGGACAGGGGTGCACGCCGATCCCTGCTCCAGTCCATGGTGGAGCGCCGCTCGCTACCCCGCTCGCGACGGCCTTCGCCGCGGCGGCCGCAGCTGAGCCCGCCGCGGCGGCGGGGCCAGGGCCTGGGGCAGCTCGGGCCCCCGCGCGGCTTCGCCGTCGCGGGGCCTGGCAGTGGGTCAAGCGTTTCACCGGGGCCCGCAGCGGGACCGCCAAGCGCCTGGTGGTGGCCGTCGCCGTGCTGGCGGTGCCCCCCGCCGCGGTCTTTCCCGCCGCGGCCCGCGGGGTGGTGGCCATCGCAAACCTCGTCGAGGGCGTGCGCGGGGCGGCGAACCGGGTCTTGGCATCGGGAGCGAAAGTCGCGGACTCGGCGGCCCGCTTCGTGGGGGCCAGCACGGGCGGCGCGCTGACGCTGGGGGGGGCCGCATGGAAGGGCCGCGACCTCCTGAACGTCACAGTGGCAAGTCGGTCGCCGAAGAGGACGCCCCCGCCCTGATGAGGGGCGGGGCGGGGTCGCAGATTCTACAGATGCCGCTGGAGTGGGTTGAGGAACTCATCAAAGCTGTCAATGTCGTCGCCGCGGGCCGCCCGCTCGCCGACCGCACTTGCACCGTTTTTCGCCGGGCGGGCTCGACGAGCACGGCCTGTTCCAGACGATGGGCTTCCAAATGCGCTGCCCACGCGCAGGCCGCATCGCGATGGCATGGGCGACTTCGAATATCACCTTCCAGGCCCGCTGGGCCAATCCGTGTAGGGAGCATCTGGGCTATGACTTCGGCACGATGACTGAGGAGATTGGCGCCGCCCCCCTCCGCGCGCTGGCGGGGGCCAGCCCAGCTCCCAACCTCGACCTGAGCGTCGACGAGATCGAGGACGCTCCAGGCATGCCATCGGCGACCTGGCCACTCCTGGGCGCGCTACATCGTCCGCTACGGGGGGAAGCTCCTCAACATCATCAGAGATTGCCGGGCGGGGGCGGGCTCGTGGGATGGGGGTCTTTACAGCGCCGACGCCAGCGCAGCCGCCGACGCCTCCGACGCTCCCCTTGGCGCCCGTGGCCTGCGATATGTGGGATTGAGAGTTTTTGTTGACGGCGGCGGTGGCCCCCCCCTGTCGCCGCCGCCGTCGAGTGGCCTGCGCAGACCAAGGCTTCAAGACGTCGGTATCAATATACCTATGTGAGCAAGGTTGAGTTCCCGTGAGAATGATGAGCCCTCTCACATTTGCAGTGGAGCTTGTCTTGTACATAGTCAATCGCTTCGCGATGGCATCGGCGTCTAGGGAGGGTCCAATAGCAAGTTATAGAAATGATTGAGTGAGCCCTTGAACGAGCGTTTTGTTTAGACAGCAATGCAGCTGGGAGGGAGACGCTCGCTGCCGCAACTGAATTGGCTCGCCCTACCTGCAAGTTCCGTTCGCTTCCGTCTGTGCGCGTGCGCGGTCGGCCTCTGATCCCATGAAAATGATGAGCCTTCTCACATTGTCAGTGGAGCTTGTCTTGTATATAGCCAATCGCTTCGCGATGGCATCGGCGTCTATGGAGGGTCCAATATCAAGCTATATAAGTACACCTACCTACCTACCCACCTGCATATGTATGTATATATATATAGTTGTGCATGTGTACAAGCAAGCATACACACACATTCATCTATGTGTAAATCGTGTGATGTGTACTATATCGGTAGATCGGAGTAAGCACTTGGGCGGCGGACTGGTGCCGCTGGTACACATTTTGGCTCCAGCGGCTCCCAGACGGCTCAAGACGTTCTTTGGGTCGCTCCGAATCCGCCCCCTCAGGCATTTGTGGGGCCGTGGCGCTTTTGGGGCCTTCCAGGGCACTCGGGATCGGTCGGTCTATGCCCCCAGACGGCACAAAAAGGCTCCCAGACGATTTCAGAAGGCCTCCATTGACCTTTCACTGGGCGCCAACAGCCACACATCCACGTCGTTTGATCAGTTTGTGGTTGATTTCGCGTTCTCCGTCGTTCTGCTCTGTTCTCCCAAGACGACTCCAGAGGCCCTCAAAATCGCCCCGAGGCGACCCCAGAACGTTCCCAAGGGCGCCCCGAGGCCAGCCAAAAACCCCAAGAGGGCCCCAGCAGAGATACTGCACGATAGCTCACGACAGCCCCAGGAACCCCCAATAGGGGCCCCAAGAGGCTGCCGGGAGGGTCCCAAAACGCTTCCCGGACGGCCCAAGATGTACCCCAAGGGCCCCCAGAGGCCCCGAAAAAACTCCCAACAGGCTTGCGGGAGCCTTCCCTGAAGGCCCCAAGAAGCCTCCGATACGTTTCGCGTTCACGTCCTCCGCGATGTTCCTGGACAGGCTTCTGGGAACATATTGCTTCGGATGTCCCCACGCCGCCAGGTAACTCCCACGAAGTTCCCACAGACGCTTCTGGAAACGTCGGTTCGAACATACTGATCGATGTTCAGGGAGGCGTCCCCGAGAAAATTCGAGTTCATGTTCCAGGAGGCCTCTCCCAGAATCGATTTTCCCGGAGGCCTCTCTGGGAACATCCGAATCACGGTTCCTGGAGGCCTCCTCCACCACCCCTTCGATTATGTGCTTGGAGAGGCCCACTCTATAAGAATTCGAAGCTACGTTCCCGGAGGCCTCTCTGGGAACATCCGAATCGTTTTTCCGGAGGCCTCTTTCGCCCTGCGGCCTGCACTACACCTCCTGCTTGGAGGAAGCGAAGTACGGACGCTAAGATTACCACCTTCACGCGGCGCCAACCGCGAAGAGAGGTGACCCAATACGGGGCCCGATTCTCGACGTCGTGAACTTGTTGATATGCCCTTTTGTGCATGGTCTTTTCGACATAGCCTCGGGATCTGATTTTCCGTTCCTGGTCGTTTTCTTGTGGTCCCAGGCCCCAGGCTTTCGAACTCCCCGTGCGATGCTCTCAGAGTGCTGACACTACTCCAGAAGGCTCACAGGTATTCATCCACGAGAGCCTAAGCGACCTCTAAGATGTCTCTCGCCCAAGTCTTGCACTAGGGGGTCGTTCGAAACAATGTTCCCAGAAACGCCACCCGCACCCTGACAACGTCTTCGGGGTCGAGAATAACCTAAGCGCGCGAGGCGCTCGTATGGATTTTGTATTGTAATTAAGTTGTTGTGTCAGCAATAGCTCGGTGTCCGCCCGTCCTGCGATACGTGTTAGAAGGACTTTTGTAGCAAGTGTACCGCTTCGTCTCGCCACGTTGGCTGAACGCCAGTCTCGGTGTTGACGAGCCGTTGCCGCGTACGATGGTGCCCATCTTCATGCGAGAGTATTTGCCAAGCCGATCCGTCAGGACCGCAGGGCCTGACTGAGACGGGGCATAAGCGGCCCGTCACGTTCTTTCGGGTGTCAGGCTCGCCAGCAAGAGGGGCGGTCAGGGGGTTGACACTGTCAGGGAACTGGGCACGGCGGTGGCGGTTGGTCGAAGATTGGATTGGCGAGGGGCTTGGCAGGAGGTGTAGGAGGAGGAGGAGGAGGAGGAGCAGGAGGAGGAGAGCAGGGACTCCGTGGATGAGGACTAGCTGGACGGGGATGAGAGGGAGGATGATGAGGACGAGAAGGGCAGGGGAGGGCTGATAAGAAGTGTGTCTGCGAGGATGAGTAGGAGAAAGCAGGAGCCGAGGGCCCGGCGCGCAGGAAAGCCATAGACTTTGACCCCGAGGGCCTCAACCCGACCGACACGGGGGTCTGGAAGGCACCCGCCCTTCGCAGATTTGCAACCGCCGGGGACGGGGAGAACAGCCGCCACCACCTGGGGTGTGTGTGGCAGGGGGGGGGGTCAGGAGCGGCGGCGTTGATGCTTTTTCGTAAGCAACACACGTTGCAAGGGGCTTCGGCTCTGATAAGAAAGGCTGTACACATATATGAATGTGTATGTATGTGTGTATATATATATATATATATATATACTGATGTAAGTATATATGTATATAAATTCTGACCGTCGCCGTACTGATGCAGGGTCCTGAGTTTGCCCTCTCCGGGGTTTCTTGAGGCCGTTTTCAGGCCGTCTTGGGGGCCTCCTGGGTCGTCTTGGGCCTCAGGGCAATCAAAGGGGCCTCTTGGGGCTGTTCTGGGGCGGTCTGGGGGCCCTGTTGGGTTGTCTTGGGGCCTTCTGGGCCGTCTGAAGCCCCTCTGGGGGTCCTCTTGGCGTCTTGGGGCCGTCTTGGGCCCCTGGGCTTGTCTTGTGGTCCTCTTGGAGCGAACTCGGGGGCCTCTTCGGCCGTCTCGGGCGCTCTGGAGACCGAGAAGACGACTCATAATTTTTGCCTCTGGGGGGGCTCTTCGGAGTCATCTTCCGGCCCCCTTGGGCAATCTGTGGAGCCCGTTGGGCCGTCGAGTGGCCATCTTGGGCCCATCTTGGCCCTCTGGGGGCGCACGTCTGGCCCTCCTGAGGCCTCCTGGGGCCCTCTGGGGCAGTCTTGCAGCCATTTGGGGCCGCCTGGGGCCTTCCTGGGGCGCTCCAGGCACAGGCTCCCCAGACGGGCCCGGAGTTGTGCCAGGTTAGTTTACTATGAACAAGTGGCACGCGTGCCCTGGCTCTTGCACCAAGGAACTGCGAGGGGCAGGAGGCTTTCGCCTCCTTCCTCCAGGAGTTTACTTTTCTGACCGCGGGGGGGGATGAACGACAAACGAACGAACGACGACGACGAACGAAAATAGAAAAGTCCGAGCTCTAGAGCACAGCTGTGCAAGAGAATAAAGTGGTCGCTGCGGAGGGGGCGGTGCGCTAGGCTGCTGGGGAGGGGGTTCGAGGGGGGAGCGGGGCAGGAGGGGGTGAGGGAGGGGGCAAGGGCGGTGCGACGACGCCGAAATGAAATGGTCGCGGCGGAGGGGGGCGGTGCGTTGGGCTGCTGGGCAAGGGGGAGGCGGGAGGGGTGAGGGCGGTGCGACGGGAGGGGTGAGGGCGGTGCGACGACGCCGAAAAAAAGTGGTCGCGGCGGGGGGGGCACTCTAAAGCAAACTGGGGGACCTGAGGAGTGGAAGCGAGCGTGCGCCCGCGGCCGCTTTGGCTCAAAGCGGCCGGCCGCCCAGATTTGACTGTGCCCCACCGCGGGGCACACTATCGCTATTGATACTAAAAGGCATCCCCTTTTACTTGACATGTCATCCCCTCTTGCATTGGGACTATCGCTACTACGGTACAACCGAGCTGGAGCTTCGCTTCGCCTGAGGCGAAGCTATTTGCGGGGCCTCCCAGCCCCCTTTAAACTTGGTAGCGGAGATGGCCTATGGTGGTCAGCTCTAGCTCTACTCCTCACCATCCACGGCACTATCTGGTGGACTACAGTTACGGCGGAACATCAGGGTGCAGTGGCATTTCGCGGAGGAGTGTACATAGATACGCAGTACCGCAAGGAAACTTGCAGCGACACTTCTGCCCCAACGGAGGTTTCTTACTCATATTCTACATCCCTGCGCTATTACACTCCTGAACTCCACCCACCTACTCCACTTGGAAATCTCTTCGAAGATATAATGCATGGAAACATGCGATATAATGCCGCCTCCGATCCCTCGCAGACTTACGACGACAAAACACGAGTCCCCACCGACTACACCCGACTACGACCTACGAGGAGGCCATTGGATTGGGGCTATTATCTTTGGGCTCATATGGGTCGTTCTTGGATGTGCTGTGGGACATATGCGGGGCGGAGACGACACTAGGACGACCGGCCCCCATTGGGACCCTGCCGGTCAAGTACCATTTCGCGAGTTTGTCCGCGAGGTACACGCCTGGATCAACGTGACCACAGGCAACATGACGCCCTCCCAACAGGCCGCCGCACTCCAGCGCGGTCTTGGAGGGTTCGCACGGACCATAGCCATGAGAGTCCCCCCAGCAGTCATCAATTGTGGTGTCAATATAGGTGGTCGCCACACCGACAGCGTCACCTACATTATGTTTCTCTTGAATGCGAAGTTCGAGAAACTAGAAAAGGAACGCCAACTCAACTCTGTGCCTATGCGGGAGAAAGAATCGACCAGTCGTTAGCACGGTTCGAGATAGCCCGCTACGAAGCAGAAGCCGCCGGCTTCAACATCCCCAACTTCCAGATATTAACAGTAATATTATTCGGAGCTCTGGGAGTGGGGACGTCGCGGGCACAGCATTTCCTGCAGCCTCTGAACCACCATATGCCGAGGGACCAAGCACAATTTGATGCTCTCCTCGAACGTATGAGGTCATATGCTCACATAGCTGAGAGAAACCCTGGCAATATCGGTGGTCTTTTTAGTCACGGTCACCGAACCGAGAGCTTCCATGCAAAGGCCGATGCAGGGCAACCTGCTAACAACGTCTGGAACGATGATATGCCGCCGACTGAGACCACTACATTGTTGGCCCAGAGTGGTGGCACGGCCTCGGGGTCTCAAGACCCCTGGGCCAGATCTAGGGGGCCACCCGACGCGGTCTCCCCCGTGCAAGCTATGACCCTACTGGGCTCTGCGTGGCAACCCGCCGAGTCCGACCTCGACTCCAGTGCCGATGCCCATGCGTCTTCTGATGATGAAACGACCGCGCTGGACTACTCTGATATGCCTACATACCTTACTGAAGAGCGGCAAGCTCAGTGGTTCTTTTTGGGCTAGCAAAAACACAAGCGTCGTTGGCGGAGATGCATGAAGAACCAGTCAGAAGGGCAAGACGTATGGCACGGTGGACACTCAAAGGAGAAGGCGAGGGTCTAAGTGAAGGCAGAGGTAAACGTCGGCGACTACACGGTAGAGGCATACCAGCATTCCTAGCATCTCTCACTGGGCCCCAGTATGAAGAACTGTTCTTTGGTGCTGGCAGGAACCGTAGGCATGCGTCAGGTAAAGGTACATGACGACGAGGGAATCCAAAGGATGCTAGGGGTAAAGTTATGGAGTGCGACATATGCCACAGTGCACAACATTTCCGACGCGAGTGCCCCCAAGGCGATTGAATAGGCAGGGGTCCGTCAATACATTTGGCTCAAACGGACTCAGACATACAGCGCGTCGACTGGGAGTCGCTCTTGGCCGACCCTGCTGACGGCTCAGCCACAGTCGTTCATTTCATGGCTGCCGGGTATTTGCGTGCCAGCATGAACCTCGAGAGTTACGCCGACGAGCTGTTCGAAGAGGTGTTCACCGGCCGCGACGATATCGACTTGGCAGAGTGGCTGGGTTTACCCATCGCGGGGCAACCTGCGGATATTGAGTTTGTCGAGAACTTCCGCGCGCCCGTGGGCGGCGACTTTGGCATGGCGGGGGCGCCCGCGGACCCTGATTCTACCATTCCTGCAGCGGATGAAGAAGCGCATGCCGTGCAGTATCCTCGGGTGAGTGGAAATCCGACAAACGCGGAATCGATCGATGATGATCCATTGCGGGGGAACCCGCGTGACGCCGGTGACCTATCTGAACGTATTCAGTATGAGCTTAGACAATGAAGAATTTCAGGGTACTTCTGTTGCCTCAGATCGGTCCGCTAGCAGTTCGAAGCAATCGGCAGGTGGCACATGGTGGGAGTTTTCTTTTTTCACCCAATGGTGTCTTGCTTCCTGCTTCGTGATCGTTTAGTGCGTATTAGTGTTGTTCAGCGTTGCGTAGCCCTGCTCGCGCGCGCCGGTCGGTGCGCGCGCGCGGCGCCGCAGTTGTGCGAGCAATGCCGGATTCCTAAGATCGGCCGCAACCTTTTTCAAACTCCCTTTCCCTCCCGCAGGCGAACTAAATTGCATTAAATAGCACTGGGCGCAACTAAATTGCACTAGCGCGGGGCGCATTAAACGCCGCTAACTTGCACTAAATTGTATAACATTGCATTAGATTGCGCTAAATTGCACTGAGCCCCACGAAATTTCAGTAGACGCCACTCAATTGCATTAGCTTGTGCTACATTGCACTGGCGTCTCCCGCCGCGCCACGCTAAACGCCGCTACATTGCGCTAAATTGCACTAGTGTGGGGCGCGCCAAACGCCACTAAATTGCACTACGCGCCACGCGATTGCATTGAATTGCACTAGATTGCACTGGCGCTTCCCGCCGCGCCACGCTAAACGCGGCTTAATTGCGCTAAATTGCACTGGCGCGGGGCGCAAGCGACGCTATGTTCGACAGGCGAAGCCCCCATCATACGCCGCGACAATCGCCGGGCCGCGTGCCCTTCATAGGGGGAAAGAAATACCACGACGATCCAAGTCTTTCGCCACTGAACGACGAGGACGAACAGGGAGATGATGACTGGACGGCGCGTCGCGGTCGAGCTCCTAGCTTCCCACCAGATCGAGGGCGAGCCCGCTCAAGTGGGGCTCGCTCGAGCGGTGTCCAGCGCCCCAATCCTCCTGGGGCGGGGGCCTCAAGTGGCCCGCCAGAGAAGACACCGGGGGCGCGTGCCCCCCCCAAGGAGGGGGCGTCTGCGGGGAAACCCGCCTAAAGGTGATCAACATCGCGGAGAAGGAGATTCAGAAGTGAAGTACAGCGTTTAAGAGGCTGGAATGCACTTGGATTGGCTCGTCTGCGCATGCCTGCAGATAAGATGGAATACTGGTTGAATAGAGGTTGGAACGAACATCAACTCCGACACTGGCATTCCCTTCGCCAAGCTAAACGAAATGATGCCGGCGGAATCATTCGCTCGAAGAAGGGGCAGACCAAATCGGAGGAAGAGCTGATCACGCGCGATCACAAGAGGGCCATCATTCAGAATCGAAAGCGCCATC